TCTTGTTCTAAGTCCCATTAAGATATTTAGCCTTCACAAAAACTCTATGAGGTCATGATCAATATTATTACCATTTTACAAAAGAGAAAACTGAGGTACAAGACTTAAATAATTTGCCTGGGGTCACATGGCTAGAAAGTGGAAAAACCTGGATTTGCACCTACCCATTCTGGCCTCAGCAGGCACACACTTACCCACTGCACGAAAGCGCCTTTAACAGGTCCCCTGAAGAACTGGAACTCACACTTCAATTCTGACTCTGAGTTCAACTTTCTTTCAAGTGACCTTGCTCTTTAGCAATATTCCATCCAAATGAAAATAAATGGTGTGTTCCTGTGTACAAAGAGAGGTTGTGTAGTTCAGGCATCCGTGAAGTGTTTTGGGAGAGGTATGGTAAAATCTAGAATATGCACTAGTTGTGTGTGCAAGGTTTTTCAGGGCAACCGGAATTTGGTCTCTGGTTCTCCAGGTCAGCCGTCTGGGCTCTAGAGATTATGGTTTGTTACACATAGAAACTAGCCACCAACTCTTACCCCGCAGCCTTTTAAAATTTAGTTTGAGTTTTTCTAAATGAAGATGACAAGATGTGAAACATTAAGAATGAAGTGAGTTAAATTTAATACTTGATACATAAGTGAGAATGGAGACACAGAAAAGGAGAAATGAAGCACATAATTGCTTAAATTGTCCAAGCCTTCTCTCCATAATAAAAATTCTTGGATTGAAAAGTAGTTTAATCCACTATTATTGTACCTTAATAATTAGGTTGAGTTGGCTCTGTGGTAAATCTGAGAAAGAACTGGTTATTAAAATGAATGAAGTAGATTACTCTTCCTTCCATAATTACGACTTCAACTAATGTGGATATGACCTATGTGATTGAGTCTACTGCATTTTTAAGACATCCTTCTCCCATAATTTTTGGAGATTCAGTAATTTAAAAATCATCAACTGGCAGGGATTTCTGTGGTAGGTGGAGGGGCAGAAAAGGTCCATGTTCTTCGACATTCTCTCCTTCAAAGCAGGTGGGGTTTTTTGGTTCTGTTTGGTTTTTAATGCTTTATTTTGTCATGTATGGAGACCTAGGCAACTGATTATCTTGGCCTTGTGTTTATAGATTTCTGTTTTCTTGGCTTCACATCCTTGGAAACATTTTTTTGATGGTGGCAGGAGGGTTAGTCATGTCTTATTTTTGTTGTTCCTATTTATTTTTAAGATCTTTTAGTTCACGTCCACTTATAAGGTGTTACATAACTTGTATTTACGTATCCACAAATAAAACATTCCTAGTAGTAATTTCTAGTACAACCTTATAGAGACAGTTAATAATTGGATGCCAATCAGAATGATTCTGTAGTATTAATAAGCTAGAACAAGGATATGCTTTGGAAAATTGGGTTTGAAATTCATAATTGGATTTAGCATTTAACATGTGAAATTTCAAGTTTCTTAGATCAATGTTTTTGAGTTACCAAGCAGCCAAATTCTTATAAACATATTTTTCCTCTTCATTACTGAGTCAACAAAAGTTGGAAAATTCTTTTCTCACATATTCTGTTCTTTAACTAAGCCTGGAGGTGAATGGCTTTTAAAAAGACTACATTCCGAACAAACAGTTCTACATGAAGTTAAGAGTAAACAAATAAAGCGGGCTCTGCTGGCACTTGGGATGTACATCTAACTAGAACTG